ATTTGTGCATTTTAGAACAAAATGAAACAAATAATTAGAGACAAATTAAATTTAAAAAAAAATCAAAAAATTACCCAATGATTTAGATATCACAAATGCATTTCATAGGGCTGCCATTTTGTAACGATTTCAGTCTTCGAAGAGAGATTGTGTGTAACGGAGACGGGGAACGGTCGTAGGAACAGAAGGCTTCGGAGACGGAGGGAAAAGGGAATGGAAAATAAATTTTCATTTTGGGCCACCTTAGGTTTTGGGCCTGAGGTGCAGGCCTCTTAGCCTTGCCTCGTGATCGGGTCTGTGCAAATAGAATAATCTAACTGCTGAACTGCAGATTTTGGAGCTGATGGTGAAAAATGGTGGAAAACCCTATGTAATTGTCTACTATGTTTCGATAAATGTACTCTTTTACGAAGGTCAGGTTGGAAAATGAATTGGACTTATTCGGGCAAGCTTTTGAGTAGAATAAAGCCACTCGAAATAGGCGTTTGAATAGGGCCGAAGTGGCCCTGCTCGAGAAGCAAAGCCTTCACAGTATGGGCCAGGACCGGATGAGTTGAATTTTTTAAAGCAAGTACTTGAATTATTGTTTCATTAAGACCCGTTCGGTAGTTTTTTTTTTCGAAATGTATTTTTCTCTTTCTTCTTTTCAATTATACATTCTTTATTAAAATAATATTGCACGTAAATTAAAAACTTTTCTTTATTTTTTAACCACACATTTCACATCAATTTATTATTTTAAAATACATTTTTATATAAAAATACCTATCAAACACTGCCTAATTCTACTAAATTTCTTGATTCTAGCCTGAACCTTCATTTAGCAAAGTTGAATACACTGAATAATGGCATTTTCTGCTTGTTTATGTATAAATAACAATCAGCATGGGTGGACCCAAGGGGGTCATGGGGGTCACTTTTTGAGATTTTCCTTTTTTTTTTTATTTAATAAAGTCATGTTTAGTATTGATTGAAATTTAAATTTTAATATAAATCAAAGTTAATAATTAATTTTAATAACATATTTTCTAGATTCCTTAACTTCTAAAATTTTATCAAAATTTACTAAAAATCGGACTTTAATCCCCACCAAATAGAGAGAAAATCACAATAAATTTGAATTTTCTCTCTTTGTTATTGCTCTATCGTATTATCTCCCTCAAGCCTTTTACCAAAATCTTAACTCTTCTAATTTTTTAAAATTTGTTTATAATTTCTCTAAAATTATCACATATACTTCAAATTTTTACTTTTCAATCAAATTTTCAACCAATTAAAACATAAATTTGCATTTTCTCCTATCATATTTGTGTATATAGCACGTGTCTAAACTGATTCTATAAAATTGAACTTATATCTAACGAATTGTGTTTATTTGACTGATTATTAGTATTGATTATTGGTTATTTGTTTTTTCTTTCGATTACTTGAATTGATTGTTTGTATCAAATACATAATTTTGTAAAATATAAATATGCATTTTCTTATGATGAGCAAAATATTATAAAAATTATTGTTCAAAATCAAATAGATGAAAATGATTTGGAAAATATTAATGAAGAAATATTTTAGAAATGTAAATTTACGTTTTTTCGGGTTAAATATGAATCATTCAAAAACCAAAAATAAAGTATTTGATTTGTACAAAATTTGATTGTGCCCCACAACTCAATTTCTCTGCGTCCATCCCTGACAATCAGTTACAATAATGTTTAGATATAGGATTTTTAAAAGGGAGTTTAATTCAAATTAATAAATTAGATTAGTTTTAATATATTGATAAAGTTTTAGTTTATAAGATTTTGATTTTAGCTTAAGATGACTTATTCATTGAATAGGTATAATTGATTATATTAATAAATTTGTTTTTTTTTTTTTTTTGGCCCTATACTGTTCTCTTCTTTGGTTTCTTTTCTTTTTCTCCTCCCTTTTCATGTATGTTGTCAAATTATTAAATTCATGCGTCAATAAATTTGACATCATATCAAATCATTTTCCTCTTGTCTAATATTTTGTTAATAAATTATTAAATACTAACCATCCACCCAAATACTTTCAAACCATACACACAAATAACGAAGTCACAATCTGCACAAATTTAGGAACAAAAAAATCGATGAGCAGAAGTTGTTCCCATTCTACATTCTAATTCAAAAAAAAAAAAAAAATTAACGGTGAGATAAAAGGTGGACTAGATAGTCCCCTTCGTTTTTTCTACTACAATTCATTATTTTTTTTTTCTCCTAATGTTCTTTAAATCCACCAATACATCCAATCCAACAAATAATTTCACCCACAAAATCGAACGACTTTTCAAATACACAGCCCATCAAATATTCGAAATGTATACCTTCCAAATCTAGGTCAATTAGTAGCCACGTTTCGAATGTGAATCTCTTGCAAATCATTTGCGGGTTAGCAATCCACCTTTCGGCTGCATATGCTCTATAGAGACGATGAATAAACATTTCATCATCCACTTGAACATGTTAAATCCATGTAACTTATTAAGAAAAACAAACAAAAATTGTAAATGGATAATACAATAGAGAGTGCATGCACAACTTATTAAAATGTCATTTATGTCATCAGATTTGGAATGTTTATTTATAACTCAGTGTAAATAACCAGGTCTTGATCTTTGACATAATTAGGGATGAGTACGGTTCGATTTCATCTAGTTTCAAAGTGAACATTTCAAAAAATTGTTTAGTATCTTGTAAATAGAGTTGTTGGATCCAACTTTAAATGTAAAAATCGAAACGCAGTTCAATTATGTACAAAAATTAAATTTCAAATGCTCTCATAATTTCAGTAACTTTTATATTCCCCTAATATTTGAAAAAACAAAAAAAAAACCTAACAAATTATAGATTTTATCTAACTAGAGCATCTCCAAGAAATTTTTTATCTATAAATTCAGGGAGTAATTTTTTTAAATTTTTTTAGCAAGTATCTAACAGACTCTTTATATTTAACATCTAATTTATTACTTTCAAAAAAACATTTAATATTTTTCATATCTTTTATTTTCAATAGCTTCCCTCCAAATTATTATATTATTTTTCCTCCAATAGAATTGAAGTATTTTGAATGCATTTAATTATAAAAAGTGGTTTGACTCGCTAAATTTGAGGAGTTAAACTCACTCTCTATTTTAAAATATTAATTTAGAAAGCTTATTAAACTATAATTTTGAGATTGACTATTTAAAATGGAGAGTCTTTTATATATAAATAGCTGCTTGAAGATGCTTTAAAATAACAAAAATATTCCAAATTTGCAAAACACAAACAAGAAGCTACTCTCCAATGTATGAAAATTACTAAAAAGTAAACAATAATCATAAAATGAAATATTTTAGCAAATTCGATTATAAAAAAAGGAGATTCGATTCTCCGATTTGATTCTAATAGTTATCATCCAATTAAACTAAAAAAGAATTGAACAGATTTGGTTCAATTCGAATGGAATATTTATCCATCCCTAGACATAACGGAAAGGTTGTGGGCCATGGTTAATAATTTTGATTTAGTCCTTGATTCTTATTATTTTCAAAATACAATTTTTTTTTTTATTTTTTCAACAACACAATCTTCACTAAAATAATATCACACTCAATTTTTTTTTTTTTATTTACACATTATTCATTAATCTACCATTCTAAATTGCATTTTAAAAATAAATGAGCTCAAACAGGGCTTAATCACAAAGGGGGAGAAAGAAAAGAAACCCAACAGAGAGCAAAAATCTTAAATACACCACCAAAGGTCCCAAACCCTACCATCTCTCTCCATTGCTCCTCTCAAGTCTTAGGTATTAAGTAATTTTTCAAATTTTAACCGTTCCTCGTCATCTCGTCCATGCTATCATGCTCTCTGTTCACCTCTTTCAAGCTATTTCTGTTCGAATTAATGATGAATTTATGGTGATCAATATGAAGTTTATTCAATTTAGTAGTTACTTTGAATTATATTTCTTTTTCCTTTTCCGACAAAATTGGAAGTTTGAGTTAGTTTTTGATATTAGGTTGCAAATATGTGGTCTTCTTAAGGGCTAAATTTTGTCTACTTTCTATCGATTATAATGAGAGACAGAAGTGGAGCCAAAAATTTTGTATAGCGATGGCATAATATGTATTTCTATCACAAGAATATAACGTACTTTTAAAAGAATAATTATGCTCCGCCCGGGTTTAAATCCCAGGATTGGAAACATTTTTTTTTTTAACTTCCCAATCAACTACTGACACGTGACATCTGGATCCAAACCCTGTTTTTATCCCTGTGTGTAGCATTGTTGCTTTTAAAATCCTAAATTCGAAGTCATACTCTACTTCTAATTTGGTTGATTAGAGATAAGGCCTCATTGATCTTTATGGTTCACTTCTTTTAAGGGGGTGTTTGAGCCACATTATTTTGGTAATAATGTATTCTTGAATAGTGTATTGATGGAAAATGTGTGATTAAAAAATAAGAAAAAAATTTAATCTGCGTGTAATATTATTTTATTGAAAAATATGTGATTGAAATTATGTCAAATTAATATTTAAGAATGTATTTTTTTAAAATAATATGATTCAAACAGGCCATAAATGAATGATGGCAATGATTTAAAAATCAACCTGGTCATCGGCCCTAAAAAGATAAAAGGTCAAGGTTCAAAAAGTTAAATAGGGATCGAATAGATGATTTTTAAAAAATTTAAAAATATATATTTACAAAAATAAAAAAAATTACATTTAAATTTTTAAAAAAATATACATTTATATAAGTTGAATCAGTTAATTTGAGGTTTTATAAACTTAATAGGACAGATTTTAGTTCCGACTCCTAGTTTTTCCTGTTGAATTGACTGGGCAAGTTCGGTATTTTAAAACATTGAATGATGGAGATTAGTTAAAAAAATCAATATAATGAAATAAATAAATTTAAAACATGATTTTTGAAATATAAAGTTAAAAATTAGGGATATGTGTAATTTCCTAAACTTAAAATCTGATTTTCATATGATGCGCTTGGAAAAATATTTGTAAAGCCCAATTAAAAGGAAGGCAGCAAGGGGAAGAGGAGCCTAGGTTTTCTTTATTGGTATTTTTTACACTAAAAATTGGGAATATACTCATCGACCCCGGCACCAATTTATCTTATGTTGCAGTGATTTCTTCTCAACTTCTTCATCACCGAACTTGGAAGGTAGTATCGGATTGTCTTTGTGTTAAAACAGGCTTTATATGTTGAAATCGATTTGTTTGTTGTGAATGATTTAATTTGAACTCAACTCCTTGTAATTTATTTTATTTTTCCAGAATTGTTGTTTCTTGTTCGTAATCGTTATCAAGCAACAGTGTTTTTTTCAACAATATTTCTCTTGAATCTTTTATGCGGACCGCAGGTGGCTCCGGCCCTTATATTGAGAGATAACTCTAAAATTTTGGAATATAAGGGACCGCTTTTTTGTTTATTCATGGCATTGATTGTGTTAGTATATTTCCAACTGCACATTATCTAGAGTCGTAGAGATTTATATCACTGAACCAATTTTGAAAAGTCAATTTATTTTCATTATATTTAGTAAATTGTGAATAAAAATAACACTCATATCCAGTATGTTATGCTTTATGCTGTAATTTCATCTATTAAATGAATTATACTAACGACAGACATATAATAAAATAAAACTACTTCCTCTTCTGCTGTTGACATTCGTGGTCCCCTTCAAACAAATTCATAGAGAAAAGACCCAATTTTCTTCTTTGTTGAACATGTGGTTTACACTTTTGCAAGTGGTTAATAATTACTGTTCCGCTACAAGTCTTCTTTAATAGCTATCCATGCCAATCAGGCGGCTTACTGGTTGGGAATTATTGAATCGGATTTTTCTTGCCTAGTTCATGAGTGCTGATCCCAAGGCAGTAGAATTTATTGGCCTTTTCCTTACTACTCACAATCATTACTACATCGTCTTGTTGATTCAATTCTCAGCTATATAATGCAACTGATTAATTGATTGTTCCTTTCTTTAAAGATCCGTTGATCAGCTAAAAGTTAAAATTCCAGAAAAGCCAACCTAACATACATAACACATGGGGAAAAAGAAAGCAAATAATCAAGGGCTCAATGCAGCATCTGGATCACAACGACAAATTTCCATGATGATGGGGGAAGAGTCAACTGGGAAGAAACAGGGCAACGTGAATGCGCAATCCATGTTGAAACTCGATTACATGAAGGATATTGCCATATGGGCAAGTGTAGAAGCAAAGATTCCTCCGCTCGGTGCTTTGTATGGCCGGCAGTTGGCTGCCTCCTATGAAGCATTGGGAATTCCACCTGACCCTTCTCTTTTCTTTTGCGAAAGGTTTGTTCATAGTTACGTAGTTTCATGTATAGCTCAAAACTTATTATTATGTCCTGTGTAATTTTATATATGTATACTGTCTTCTTATATTACTTAACCCATTTAATATGCTTTTGCTGGCCATGATAATCTGTTTTTCATTTTCCTACATATTTAGTGGCTGTACAATCTAATGGCGCCTAACTGTTATGGTCTGCTAATATTATTTTAACCTATTTAAATGCTTTACATTGAAATTTACTCAAAATATTTTGTTCTATGAGTTTGTGTTTCTATTATATATTTTCGGCTATTCTTTTAGTGATAAATTGAACCTAATTTAGAACCTACGACAATTTGGTCATGGGAAATGATTGTTATTATGATACCATGATGAGAACTTTGTAATTTCGTAATCATAGCTTTGGCTTTAGACAAATGAGCCAATGAATATCTCTTATGATGATTTTTAATCTTTATTGATATTTGTCTCTTCTGTCGATTTATATAGTTGGTGCATGATGTCTTAGCATCTAGTTTTCTTCTTATTTCTTTCACATCTTGAGATAATGCAAACAATAAGCAAACAACAATTACTTGGCTATCTTGTTTTTCGAAAACTACAAATCAATGGATAGGTAGGAAGGCAATCTAAGAATCATTGGTTGAACAATTTACAGACCCTTTTATCAGAGATCTGCTTGATTTTCATGCTCTTCTATAATGGACATGTCTAGATATAGGTCTTGGAAAAACTGGCATTGTTAGTGTTAATGAAATAGAGGGTAATTTGAGACTTAGAATCAAAATGCAGAAAAATCATTGTTTTATTTTCAAGATCGCAATCTGGTAACCATTGTTATGCTTTCTTCCCAGTTTTGTTTATTGGTATTACATTACATGTTTCGAACTTTGTAACATGGAAGAAAGCATCCAGAGTAAGTACCATAGAATGTGAAACATGATTGATTGCAATATGGACACAAGCCACACGGCCACTATCATTCTTCCATTCCATCTTGTTTCTCCTGGGAGTGTTGATTATTTTTTGCTAATGGCTAGTTTCATGAAGACATTTGTGAAATGTACAATCTTTTTAATTTGTTTGTGTATTCACTACAAGTTTGTCAAACGATTTAAAGACAGTTTGTTACACACTTTATTCTCCTTCTCTGATGATGCTTCTATTATATGACAGATGTGAATCTATCCTCAAACCTGGTGAGAATTGTACAGTCCGGATTGAGAAGAACAAGGCAAAGACAAGGCATAGACGCAATAAAATGAAGATTTCCACACAGAATAATGTGGTTTACACATGCCATTTCTGTTCTCACCGAAATATTGTGAGAGGAACTCCAAAGGGCTATATGAAAGAGATTTGTCCGCCAAAAGCTAAACAATTTTCAAACTCCGATCCTGCTAAATCTGAAGTAGCATCTACCAATATTGAGGCTAATGAGGTGGACAATACAGTTGGTTTACCTGTAGCAGCAGTTGTAGAGGGACCTAGCATAATTACTGAAGTAGGATCTACCAATATTGAGGCTAATGAGATGGACAATACAGTTGGTTTACCTGTAGCAGCAGCTGTAGAGGGTCCTAGTACAAGTAGCCCGGGAACTCCGTTGCCAAGTCTGGGTGTTTCATTATTGGAATCAATGAGGAGGAAAAGAAGTAGGTCAAGCATAAAGAAAATATCTCAAACTGAAAATAGTCTTGCTGATGCTAATGCTGAAAACAGTGTTAGTGCTTCGAAGAAGAGGAAGAGAAAATCTTGGACAAGTCTGAAAGACATTGTGGAGAGTAGCAAGAACGATACTAACCAGAAGCTTACCAGCTTAACAATTCCATTTTGATTAATGTCAATGGTTTGAATGTGCTAAACAATTCTATTTTTAATTTTAATTATGGTGATGCCAGTGCGGTTTGAATGCGTACTCTCTTTCTGATGTTTCGTGCTTGAAATTGTCAAAATACGACATTTTGCACCTTGCTTCTAATGCATCTAATTTCTTACTGAATTTGATGAAGATGGAACTTGTCATTTCTTATATGATCTAATTCAAACGCAACCTAATGATTTGTATACATACAAGACGATGAGTCTTTTGTGTAGTCATCAATTGTTGTACTAATGTAGGATCAGTGTATTAGAATATGATGCCACCTAAATAGATTCGATTAGACAAAATACTTTTCCCCATCCATCCTATATTCCTGCTGCAAATCTAGGAAGCTTTAGTGCACTTGTTCCATGTGCCCATAATCGCTACTTGTAAAGTAGGTGGGATTCTATTTAAGTGAAGTTTGTACTCAGTGAGAAGGTTTTACGAGCTTTTTAACTATTCGAGAGTATTCAGTATATTCACTCTCTAAGATAGCTCAGTAGTGTAACTAATTAGGTCATCAGTAATGTCTCTAAATTCAAAACAAAGCACATTAGGTTGGGATTTCTTGAAGCTTTCTTCCCGTCTTTCTGGGAGATAAGTCCCACCAAATGTTTCTTGTACAGACTTAGGCAACCTAGAAAACCAATTAGCAGATATTCAACAAGGTCAGGATCCTAAGATCGTGTCTGACCATGTAGTTGTTAGTTTGATGCCCATTTTTCGAGTAATGTTCTATAAAATCACATTATGAATTTACGTTAGTTTATTTGCGTGTTATAATTTGAAGTGATTGTCTAAGGTTCCATGATCATAAAGGACGTCACAAATTGTATATTCGATGGATCGGATATAGTAAGATACAATTTGTGATATGATCCAAATTATATCGTTCACAATCGGCTCATAAAGTTGGACGCTTTATGTTGATAAGATTGTATTGTTTTTATTAAGATTTGTCTAGATCTTGAAATAGGAACAATAATGTGTTTCGATGCACATTGAACGGGACCGCGTAGCTGACTCATTTGTGACCGCTTGAAATGAGACTTTACTTGATTGTCAAACAGGTCACCTAAATCCTGGATGAGTAATCTACCTTCGATTGTTAGTTCAAGTTTTTTGAGGTACCAATGAGTGAAGTCTTAAATAGAAGATTGATCTCGGTGCTTTGAGAATCGGGCCGAAACAATTAGAGATCATATACTTAAAATATTGGAATACATTAATCATTGATATGAGATGATCGTCACTCTAAGGTATTTTCTTAGGCAAATTGAATCTGAGCTCAATAGGTCGACGATGAGATCGTTGGACTTTACATTGTGATTTGATCACAACGAATTTGCCATATGAAAATGAGTCTTAGAAGGTAATGCATGTTGAACGGCAAAACAGTCATTTTGCCAGTTTCAACATATTGACGGTCAAATAGGGGTTGACTTGTGGAACGATAATCAGAGGATATTGTTATTGGATCATAATTTGATTCTATAACTATCACTCGACTCAAGAGTGCAATCTCGATTTTTTGGTAGAATAAGTCGGGATTAATAGATGTATCTCAATTGGTCAAGAGTTTACCCAATTGAAAACATCTATTGGAGCTTGGGTCATGTGAGTCCAATTAGGTCCCTCTCTTGGCTCCAATAAAAGGTGTGTGACTTAATTGGCCAACTACAATAAAGTCTAAGGATATTTGTGTAATTTCCAAACCCTAACAGATCATTATAAATATGCACATTATTAACATATTTTGGTGTGATTTTAGGGTTAGTCACTTTTCACATTCCCCAAAAAGGAATAACACCTAGTGGAGAATAAGGGAGAAGATCTAAGGGAGGAAGTAATTGGTTAAGCCATTAATAGCTCCTTCAAAAATGTTATCTCCTCCCATTTCTATATATGTGAGGATTTAATAATCCAATGATATCAAGGTCAATTAAATCCTTATTTACATGATTTTAATCTTCAAATGAAAATTAATTTCCTATTGTGATGATTAAAGTTCATTAACCAACAAATGGTATCAGAGCCAAGGTTATTATATTCCTTGAGTAGGATTTTTTTTTTTTTTTTTTAAATCCTAGTGTAATATGCATTTTAGTTGGGTGGTGTT